CACGGACTCACGCAAACGCACTTGCCACCGAGGTCATGCAACACCGCATGGCACAGCGACATCACCTTTCGAAAGCTTTAGCTGTTAGTCTACTGAAGAATCACTATTCTAATGAAGGTTTTTGTAGGGGAAAAGGAAGCCCCCACCCTTCGATCTGGAGCTTTTTTGCATTTTTGATACGAGTTTAATAAAGGATTTTATATAAAATTTTACTGATTTACTTTTTGGTTTTGAAGCTCTTCCCAGGTGACCTATTTTGGACCCCCCGATTTCAGGGACCCCCTATTAGAAAAAATGCGGCCGAGGTTTCCTTATTAGGGGGGGGGGCCTGTTTTTAAATAGGTGGACCGGATTAATAGAAGCAGCCATTACTGTGAGTCTTTCTTAAACTGTCCTAGTCGGCCCATATCCACCATGACTCATGTGGCAAGGGCAAGCCGCGCCTCCTCATGAGTGGCCTCTGCTGTCTCCGATTTCCACTCATTGCAGTCCTGGAATTCAAAAGAATTAGCTGAGAAAATAAGAAAGGACTTTTAAGGGCCGCTCTGCCCCCCTACCTAATAGCGATGGCCTCCAACCTAGAAGTGATGGTCTCCAACCTAGAAGCTCCAGGAGGAGTGTATACTGCGTTGGGCGAGATGCATTGGACATGACTGGTGCAGCGCTCCTTTGGTACATCCCGCACCACAATGTTTTCATCAGGTTCATCCTGCGGCAAGAAACTTCAGGTACAGAGTGTGCCGAGTAAAGGACTCTCAGGAACCCTGCGGAAAAAGAGAATCCAAGATGGCATAAAGGGGTACATGAACTACAATTCTAGTTAGTCCTCCACGCCCCCTTCAGCAACTGCCTCTCCCCGATTTTCCGCATCAAAGGCATCGAGTACTGCCTGACATGCTTGTGATGATGTGGACTACTGGCAACGTTACAGCCAGGATCCCAGCTACAACAACCAATGTAGTGGGGCATCGTCCAAACAAAGAGTTGGACACGCTGCTACAAGCATGTGAATCAATAATGTCAAACAACTTCGTTGTGCAAATGTTCTTGAACCCAGGTTTGTGGTGGCGAGCCGATGGCCACTTGCAACACTTGCAACTGTCGCCTGCCGAAGTCCATTGAGGCGTTCCATTTCTCTATTGTAAGCGTCCTCCGTGGTGCACCTCAGCTTCCCTAGCCTTGAAAAGAACAGAATGAAAGAAAAGCAACTGCCGATGCTCGTGTTGTTGCTGTCAAGTCGCCACACAATCTTTTCCCCGTACGCCTGGCTGAAGGAACATGCATCTATGACCTGGTCCTCCATGATCCTCCGAGCTGTGACTTTTCGGTTGGTAAGGTTATGCAATGTTAGGGCCCCGGGCTCTAGATGGCTCGAAGATCAAGAGGATGTCTTCTAAAGGATACTTCTCGAAGTCCTGGAATTGATGCTTGGGACAATCAATATCAGCATGTTGAACAGCTCGACCTGGAAATCTGTGCTTATTAATCTGTGCTTATTAGTGCAACGTTCTTTCTGCAGCTGCAGCTTCCTTCTGCTGTGGATGGTAGTCTGAAGCAAAACCCATTTTCTTGACCTCAAACAAAAGCAATTGCGGAATTGCCCCACAGTTGGAGAACAAAGCCGGAGCAAGTCTGGTTCTCAAAACAAGAGTGACTCTGGTGTATTGCTTAGCATGACTCGTCCAAGTGCAACGCTTGATCTAAAACCTCCGACTTCTTGAGGTGCGTGTAGGGTTTCAGCCTCAAGTTCACATCGCTCGACTCCAAGACTCCTCACTTTTTCGTGGCATGCTTCATTCAAATTGTTTGGCTCCCAGTCTTCTGTGAGGCTCTGGGCTCTGGACTTCATACCTGAAAAAGGAACATCATCAGACTCCTCCACTTCATCAACCAGGTCAATGGCAAGGTAGTTCTTCGCCTCAACTGATGTCCCGTTCAGCTCCTCCAAGAGTAACCCCTGCACATCATGCCCAACTTCGCGCTCTAGTTGATTCACCCGCCAACATGGAGAGCGTCACTCATCGTACTGGAACTGTACATCCAGCGAGGACAAATCAACAATAAGCAAGCCGTGGCAAAGCCTCGCATCAAACCAATCATGATTGCCAAAGCAAGCATGCAATCTTGACCATGGAGGAGGATGCCTATCCGTGGTGGTTTTGTGGCAAACATGAGAGGACTTTGGCAATGGCCATACTGAGCCAGGAAGTTCGGCAGCCTATGTACAGTTCGGCGACCACTGTCTTGGTGTCGCCAAGGGCTGCTTTGGCCAGTTCTGCGGATTGACACCACTTTGGACCAGATTGCTAGAAATTTGATAGGACTCTCTTTAGCTCTTAGTACAAACAACTTATAGTTTCCCTTGAAAAGAGCAACATTTCTTGAGCACACTCATCCTGAGCACAGGTCTTGATTCAAGACCTTGGTGGGAGTTTGATCGGATCGAGCCATTCTTTTCAGCACCAAAAAGGCCTTTATTTGCCTGGGTGAGTCTTTTTAGGCTCAGATGCTTGCGTCGTGTTGGCACCTGTAGCTTTAATTGATTTGGCTTGTTATTGAAACCTTCCACATACTGGGTTGCAAGAACCAATCCTCAGGATCACGCTTTCTGCTTTGGAAAAGTCCTGGACTTCAGCTCCTAGGTGCTCGTCACTTGATCTCGTAGGGTCGAAATGAGCTCATCAGAGATTCCACCCTGCGGGCGGCACCCGAGCATGAGACAAGCAAAATGCAAAAGAAACTGGACCCTGTCAATGCCAGAGGGGCAAGAGAGACCTGAGGGTTCCAAACGGCTCTTCTAGCTGAGCTCCCATGCCTGACGTTCGTGCAGAAACTCAGCAGTTTGTGCTGCGAAGCCATCTGGCGATGCCTCGAACATGTCTGTGCTCTAAGTGGTCCAGCACTGGAACACGTAAACATGTCTGAATGCTCGAATCCAAGCCATCTTTGCGAAGTGACTCCGCACATTACAAATTTGGCTACACATGCAACACCTTGTGTGTTGCATAAGGGCAACTCCAGGTTGCGGTGCCTGCCTCTGCGAGAGCAGCCTTCAGGGGTCTTTTAAATCATTTGATTGTCTATTATTGTTCCTAATAGCTTCTTTGTTACTACTAGTAAGGCACCTGTTACTACTAGCGATGCACTTGTTCCTAATAGCTTCATTATTGTGGATGCACAAAAAGCGAGCCTTCGTCAGGATTCGGAATGCGATGCTGCCAACATATCGCGGATTTTTTTACCGCTCAGGTGGCGCAAACATGGTCGGTGAGCTCAAAACCGTGGAGTAGTACTCATTGTAATCCAAGCGTGTTGCTAAGTTCTTCAAGAAGTGCTCATATCGGGCTTTGGATTCTTGCTGAATCTGTCGCAAGAAAGCTTGCAGTTGGCTCTCAAAGATAGTCTTCCACTTTGCCATCATCTTGGAATACTGCCTTTGGGAAAGAAGAGCAAGATATTTCTGTGTACTGTGCCTCACCCTGGTCAACCTTCTTTCTGCCGGAGTCTTGCCATCATCAGGCTCTTCAACTGGCTCACCGCCAATATGAGAGAATTTGTGCAGGTTCTGGGCAAATGTCAAACAGGTCTGAAGCACTTTGGACAAATGTTTGTACAGATTATCATGTTCTGTGAGGAGGAGCTCCCTCAGGCAGCTTTCCAGGAATTGCTCATGGCGATGCAGAACATCATCAATGGTCTCTGCTCCGCTGAGGGAAGCCAAGAATTCATGCGACTGTGGCTCCAGCACCTCCACAGTGGCATAGTAGATATAATCTCGACAGAAATGCAACATCCGCTGTCGAAGCGAATAGTATGGACTGAAGCTGGAATCCAATCCCAATTCCTTCGTGTACTGGTGATCAACCCATACTTCCACAAGCTTGCGCTCAACATAGCGACAGTACAGCAAGTGTCGGAAAATCACTTGGTACTTCAGAAGGATCGTCTTGGAAAAGAGGATCGATAATGGCCAGCTTGTTCGGTATTTTAAGGTCAAACTGCGTACCGCGGGCACAGCGGTCCCTTCGCCACCAAAGAGAGACGGAGTTGAAACAGCCACAGATACATCCTCCTTTTCTTCATCCTGGGAGCCCTTCATGCGATGACAGGCATCCTCAACACGAAAGGAATGCAAACCACAGGAGATGTCTTCTCGAAAGGGGTCAGCTGCCATAGAGGATGCACGCACTGCAAGATCCAAAAGACCATCCAGCCTGGTTAAAGGAACCTCCTCAGCAGGGCGCTCTAGTTCCGCAGTGTCTAGGAAGTGGCCAAACCAATCAGCTCGGCTAAGGAAGAAAAAGCTTCGCAAAGACTTTAAGCGTCCAGGCAGGTCGAGCCCCTCTGGTTGCGGTTTCATGAAAAGGTTCAAAAGTGCCGAGGCTGAACGACGATATGCTAAATCGATGGCCTCAGCATAGTCTCGCCTCCTTCGGGAATAATGAAATGGCACTCGTCCGCCTATTGGCTCTGGCAGTGTTGCAGATGTTGCAGATGAAGCTGAGAAAAAGACATGAAGGTACTTTCCAGCATGAAGAATGCGTTCACTGCTGGAAGCAAGGAACTGAGGTACTGCCCTGTCATCCAACGTGAAATGCTTCTGCCAGAAATCTGCGGCTGGACCAGTGCGCTTGGTCTGCTCATCGCGTGCGCGAAAGTTCTCAGACACACAAAACTCACCATATGGATCCTCTAGCCGGCCTTCGTAGACCCAGAGTGACATCATGTCAAAATACGGTCGTGACGCCTTCTGCAAGAGAAACTCACACAAAGATTGCGCTGTTGTGAGACCAGTTTTCATCATGACCTCTTCAATACCATTGAGAACTGCACCACCCTTCAAGCCCAGGACATGGGCGGTAATGCGATGCAGCAGCGCGAAGGTGTCCATCGAAGGTTGCGAACGATACCACAGTTCTGCCAAAGTCAGTTCTGCATTCTGCAAAGACTTTTCTAAACCACTCACCTTCGTAGCAAACTCCCTCAACAGTTCTTTCAGTGCAGAGCACAAGGCGTGATTCACTGTACCGTATTCGTGCTTGCTGTGCTGCTCCACAAAGGTCTCAACGAAAGCATGGTGGTCGCACAGGGGCATCATCTGCTGAAGAAACTGTGCGGTGGAGATATCTGCTCCAGCTGGGATGCTAATCTCAAAGAGTCCGGATGTTTTCTGGATGTAGGTGCCCTCCACTCCCTGCAAGCAATAGAGGAGATCATCCAAAAGCATGCGCTCCTGCTCTTCAAACGTCTTTTGCCCCAAGTTGCCCAGGAGTTGGGGAGGCGGGGCTCGTTGTTCTGCAAGCGCTGCCACGTGCGCATCGAAAGGAATCCCAGCTTTCACAATCCGAAAGCGAAGCTCTGGTACACGGCCATCCCGACCCTTGCACATCAGTCGTCGGCCAGAAGCACGCGCTGGTGAGACTCCCTGAAGGCGGGAACCTAAAGCAAGACAATCGCTATATTTTCCTCGGATCAGCAAAGGCATCTTTGATTGCAACGGGATCCCCACGTCACCCTCAGCATGAAGCAATGTCCAGCAACAAGAATCTGAGAGCTCTTTTCGCTCAACTACAGGTTCCATGGTGCCATCAACACTTGGCTCCAAAGCCAAATAGGCATATCGCCCTTTGGCACGCCTATCCCCTAAGTCCCGAGCAAAGCAAACTTGATCTCCCACGTGAACCACGCCTCGGTGCTTGTGGCTATGAAACTGCAAGAGAAGCCATTCCGAGGGACATTCAGTGGCAGGATCTGCTGCATCCTGTCGTAGTGGATGGAATCCAGAGACTTCCACCGAGAAGTCACCCTCCCAGATAGCTGCAATATAGCGTTGCTCAGCACATGATCGGATGCCAATGCGAGAACCATAGTGCAGCAGGGCTGGTTGTGAGCCTTGCACTGTATCTGGCGCTGTGGCCATCTTGCAATGCCATCGCAAAACGCTACACACGTGGCAGCTTCTGTGGTTGCATTTATTCGATCTTGACCATGTCACTCTTTTTGCTTCTTGGAACTCAATCGATACAATGTGTCTTTGAGCATTTATTTCTAGCTGTTGGGATTTGTATCTAACATCAAGCTGATCTTTTGAGCCTGCGCAAGAACAATTCGCGGCCATGAGGACACTGTAGGCGCTCCAGAAATCATGGAAAAACGTTTCCTGAATCTTTTGGCCTTTTGGGCCTTAGGACAAGCACAACAAGCACAGTTTTGAGGGTTTTCTGCAGCTCCCCGACCTTGAACTTTTTCATCAGCAACTCAGAATCTTCCAGCTCCTGCATGAAACAAACACCATGGACCATTAGAACCGAAACATGCCCCAATGCCCCAACCATTCTGCGAGGATTCCGAGGATAGACTTTCAAGAGGCCTGGCTTGCAGTCTACAGTAATCTTGTAGGCAAGGCGAAGTCAATGAACACAATAAACATCCCAAGTTGGTTCTGTCTGATAATGTCGATGGCTCGATCTCCAAAGAATGACAGCGTGTATGTACATTCAGGATTCGTTGGCTCCTCCTCAGTTCCTGGCGCATGAGATCTTCTTTGCTTGGGATCTGTGTCGTGAGTCATGATTCAACGTCATCCAAGGCGCTGGGAATCTCGAAGTAAAGGTCCAACATTGCCAAGAACCCGCCTAGGAAACACTGCCGAACACTATGCTCTTCTCAGTGGCTCCAGATGCTGCAAAGCGTCTGAACAATGCACGTGGACCCCAAAGAAAGCAAAGATCCTGCGGAACGAGACAAGGACATCTGTCCAAGCTGCATCCTTAGACCTTCCAAGGATCCGAAAGTCTCATGATGGTGCTATTGAAATGCTCATGCTCCACAAAAACGAGGGAACAACATGCTATCTGGTTTGGGGACACATTGTTGAACGCATGCGTTCTGCAAGTTTTGACGTAAGTAGAAAAAGAAGATCCCACGGTCCCACAGCCCAGCAATAAATGGCAACCTCAGCCGTTGCCACAGCGGCTTGTGGATCCCAGCGCTTTCAAAAGCAAAAGCCCCAAAATGCCGAAAACGATCAAGTGATACCGATTCTTGGAAATGTTGAGAAGTATATGGTCGACAAACCATGGAGTTTTAGCAGAGCTGCGATGTTGCGTTGGAGCCAAGGGTTAAGAAGTAGTCCACAGTGAACCATATCACCTGCCATGACTGTCTTACTTGATCGACGGACGGGAAACATGGACTCCAATTGCGTTGTGAATGGGAGACATGGTATGCAAAATGCTGCAAGTACATCTTCTAGTTCATATCATATCATACAAAGAACCATCGACAATTGACTGACTACCCCACTTAACTTTGCTTCAACATGTTCAACCTGAATCCCGGCGGTCTCGAAAGCCATAGCATGGCGAGGTAGAAAGCTCCTTGGGGCTGCTACCAAGCAAGTGCAACCATGAGCTGCTCTAGCATGAGAGAAATCTTGCAAGCACAAGCGCTTCTCTGACGTCTCATTTGCTATCAATGCCAAGGCTCTGTATGAGAATGTCCTTGAAAGGCCCAGGCAGACCAGGCCGCACAAAAAGGGTGATAGCTTTGAAAAGCACTAGATCTGATTCAGTGCGACATTAGTGGCTTGTTCCTATCCTCAAATACTTCGGTCTGAGGATCTGCTACCCCGGTGTCTCTGAAGAGGCCATGCAAGTCTGGGTGATGACATCCCGGTAGCAAATCCTGCAAATGGACTTCTGCTTTGGACGAAAACCAGCACTAGCCTTGGCTGCTGGGCACTTGTATGTTGGGCCACCCTGCCTTCATGATGGCATCCATCATATGAACAGCCTTCTCCTCCTCGAAGCCAAGCTTCAAAAACACCGCAGCCAGTTGGTTCCTGGGTCAAACCCTACACCCATTTCAACAGTCTACGGTAGTCATTTTGCATTACACGTGTCTTGTGAAGCAACTTGCACCGCATTTTTTGTGAGCCCTTGGCGTTCCAAGGGACATCCCCTGTGCGTAGCCCACCTCTGGCCTCGCAGCACCCACAGCGTGCAGCACACGCCGAAGTGCAGCATGGCGGCCGGCCACCAAGCTGTGCCTTGCTTGATGTCAAAAAAGTTTTGGAAAGGCCATAGGGCCATAGGGAGTCTACATTGTCCCACCAAAGCTCTTAGTTGTTTATGCTACAATTGATAGGTCGACATTCGATCTGAAACATGTGTGGATATTTGTGTGGAGAATTCGTATGCGCTTCAGACTAGCACCTTGTGCGCGGTACATCTGCATTGATCTGCTCGCTCACCTGCACAGCGTTGTGATGTGATTTCGTGGTGTCATCACGATTCACAGAAGCTATGCTGCACCACCAAGAATAAATTTCAAACATCACGCAAACACCTTGGGTGGCAACGGCACGAGCAGCAACTCCTCTAAGGCTCTTCCAGAAATGGACCCCAGGAGGTGAGGCCAAAGACGATGGCGATATTTCAGTGGCATTCCGCCATACCCTGCAGCTGTGAAATTTCTTCGAACTTGACGTCTGGAAAGCAAGTGGAACAAATCTTCCGACAGAAAGAATCGAACAGAAAGGACTGCAACTGTAAACCATTCACCTGGCCTAAGAGGAGTTTCTCGACTGCCACCTTGGCCAGGCAGGTGCCATCCAAGAGGTGGGTCTCCTCCATGGCAAGTTGCCATGCTTCATGAGCTTCGGCCACTTCCTCTGGGGCCTCGCAACACAAATCTTCTTTTTAAGCCCGCTCCGCCCCCTGCTTACTTAATTAAGTAGGCGCCTACCTAATAGCGATGGCCTCCACCTGTCTGCAGTTGATTGAGGGGACTACACAATCCTCTTAATCTCTTAATCCTCTTGGATGGTTGCAAGACTAGCAACTCCCAGGTAGAATGTTAGGTTCACTGGTTTCGCTGCAGGCTACGATTTGACTACATGTTTCTGCAGTCCCGTAGTTTAATATCAACAATCAAATGCTTTGCGAACCGTTCGACAAATAGATTCGCTAATACCTACATGTCGTTCTCTATTATGTATCTTCTCGCCAACCAAGGCCGATACTTTGCTGGTAGATCCGACTGCAAGCCCTTCATAGGAATTCAACGTACTGCGCAAAAGCCCAGCCTCATCGCTCCTCTTAGGGCTACCACTGCTTTTGGGGCTGTCATTCTCCGCATCCTGTTGACATCTTCATGAATTTGAATGAGCAAGTGTTGGCAAATTGTTTGCTTGTGCTGACGGCATTTTTACCAAGACTGCGCAGGGCGCCTCATCGTCCACTCGTCGTTGCATGATGAGCCCAACATCCTGCCAAAGCAAAGGATTGCAAAGGGATACTGTTAAAGAAAAACACCCCAGTGGTTCCGAGCGGTTCAAAAGCCAAGAAAAGTTTGTTTCGACTCGAGCACACTTGAGGGCATGGCATTCTGGCGCGAGTAAGTCAGGGTGTGCCAGGACCGTAGTCGGGATTCCCGGGACATGCTGTCGAGATCACACGGGAGACAATGCAGAATCAAAAGCAGCGCAAACGGGTGCAACAAAAATATAGTTTCGACCGATTGGCAGAGGCTTGCTCCAAACCAAGTCACACATCTCATGACACATCCGTACTGGGCGCGGATGATTTAGGCTTTAGCATGTCAAGCAACATAGGTGTCGTGGTATTTTATTTTGCATAGTTGAGGCCTATGTCATGGTGTCCTGTGTACTCCAGAAATGCTCCAACTGGTCTAATGAGAAAGGACTTGAGGAAGGTTGTGAAACATGATAAAACAAGCACTAGTCCGCATAGGCTCGGCTAGGCTCTAAGTCTATTTCTATGATTGTTCTATCCAAAGGCTCATGACCTATGTCTTGTGCTTTTTTTGCCTGTTCATCAGCTTTTGCATTATGACTTAGGACTTTGAAGGTATTTCGGCAAACTCCTTTGTCCTTAGCGGCAAGTATAAATGCCTGTGGTGTACCGGAAATCTGGGTGCAAGCAATGTTCTGGACTTTGGCAAAAAGTTAACGGCCGTGAACTGTCATTGGCACGCTAGCAAGTCATCTTGCACAGTCTAAGCCTGAAATCTCCTGCCTCTGACGTTGTGAGCCGCTGCACCAAGTCTCGTGCATGATTGAGTTGCGGCGCCAATGAGTCCAATGTCAATGCACAAAAATCGCCTGACACTGAGACTGCAAGATATCATCAAGGCCAACCATTGTTCAAGCACCCTCAACTTCTGAAAGCTCTTCAAGTTAGAGATTGCATGATGGCAAAACTTCTTCTCTTCTTTGCCTACAAGTGCGCCAAGGGACGTATCCCAGCAAGCCATAGCAGCGCACCCAGCTGGTCAGTGGATTTGACTCTTGCAACGGGTTCCTCGCATTCTGGGCAGCCCTGACAGGGCCAACCGTTCGGCCAGCAATGCCAAGGGCAAAGCATGGAAGCATGGCAAAGCAACATTTGTTGGGGCCCAACACCATCTCCAGCCTCCTGGACACAATGTGCATGGAAACCTGGCAACATCTGGCAGCCACTGACAAAGCATCTCTTGGCCGCTTGGCTTCTTTCTGACTACACTTTCTTACTCAAACTTTAATAAGGACTGCAAAGTCAGAAATTAAAGGTCCAAGGCTGGGATCCCAAACATTATTCCCCTCGCCCAACGCCTTGTTTGTTGACTGTTTGGACTGTTTGGCAATATTTGAAATGAGGAACAATGAAAGCGGGAGCAGCGGCGCAGCTCCCTAGCCCCAAAGCCCAAGGGTTCATCGCAAAGTGGGCAGCGCAAAGCACCAGACATTTGTTGCCTCAGGCCTTCCTCAACTCGGTGCGCACGCAATGAGGCGCTGGAATGAACGCGACGACAATAGTTCCTTGAATCCACCCGTTGTATACCTGTTGCAATGGCCTCCAAGCTAATAGCGATGGCCTCCAACCTACTAGCAATGGAGTCTGCTGTCTGCTCATAACAACCACCAGCAAATCCCAGGGTCCAAGTATTCCATGGATCTCTCGATCTCGATGAGCTTCTCCTTGACCAACTTCCTTAGCGAAAGGCAAGCAGCAAGGTGATTGGCAATCTCTTCTTGAAGAGGATACAACAATTTGGCAAATGAATGGACTTTTGGTCATTGGTTAAAGTTTATGCGGGTGTCTTAATGTTCATGTGTGTAATGTGTCACTTAACATCTGTCGGCAAAATGATTGGCTTCCTGCAGCATCAACAAAAGTGAATTAAATAACTGTTTCAACTACTACTTTCACCTCCAACCTCTGAACACAAAAATGCCATGCAAGAGAACGGACAAATGTTAACAGTTAACAACGTAGTTTGAACCAAAAAGAGCACACAGCTGAGCAAGAAGAAACTGCATTTGATGAATTTCCCCTTTCAGTTCATTTCTTCTCCTTTGCTGCCTGTCTACAGTGATTAAGTGATTAACAGAACTTAAATTGAGCTGTCGCAGCAGCTTCATATGGCAAAGCACCGGAATACCCAGAGTACGTGGAAACCCTCTCATTTCGGCCAAAGCTGTGGTTCTTGACTATGTCCCAACATCGAGTCGATTCTGTTGCTTTGAAGGAGTAGCCACGTTTCCACTGTCCCGCAAGACCCGAGAGTCTGCATGGGTTTTGTTGTTGACCAGCCATGCGCAGCTACACCCACAGCCAGGCCGGCACCCAGGCCACCGAGCAAACGCCCTGCCAAGGCCAGGCTTTCGGCCCCAGCCTTGGCAGTTCCGACACAACTTGCCCTTTGCATTCTTGCAATCTTCCACACACACACACGAGGCGCATCTTCCCTGCCTGGCTCAGAGCAATATACTTTGCTGACCGCAACAAAACCAAATTCCTGAGCCAGGGAAAGCATGAAATTCAAAGCTTGTCAAGCAGAGGCAGAGTGATCACATAATTAAGGAAAACGACATCGTGCTCAGAAACTACAAACTATCCTGGCAAGAGACCCCAAACAGTGTGTATGAGAGTGTGAGAGTGCGTGTGAGTGTGAGTG